TATCCCACAACTTAGACATTCACATTACTCACACTCTCATTACACATACATATAGGATCTTGGGGGTGGGCACGATACACGGAGAAAAAAAAAAAAAAAACAGGAAATAAAATTGGACCCACCCATCATTAAACCTTCACTGTAATCAAATACAACAGAAAATGATGCATTTCCTTGTGAACCATGCAAAGAACATAAAGCTCTTAGGCTGTTGGCTATAAATTGCTAATGCTACCCAACACAAACTTTAATAAATTTAGGTCAGTTGTAATATCCAAAACTAACCACCTCGAATTATTCACTTATTATATCAATTAATACATTTATATTAATGTGATTGAAATTACAGAAATGTACAAACTGAATTCCTGTTATTACTGCAGCCCACCTGCAGTACGTTTGTGATCCACCAGGGGGCCCTGATAAGACACCGCGCTTTTGTATACTGAAAATATGTAGCGTTTATATACTACAGTGTGTGTGTGTGTGTGTGTGTGTGTGTGTGTGTGTGTGTGTGTGTGTGTGTGTGTGTGTGTCAGTCACAGCACAGGAGCACCACAGGTGACCGTACTCTCGCCTTTTCTCTTCACCCTGTACACTCCTGATTTCACTCACAGCGGTGTGGTCTGTAAAAAAATTATTCTTGGACAATTCTGCAGCTGTGGGATTTGTCAGAGGTGGGAAGGAGTCAGTACAGGGATCACATGGATCACTTTGTTGAGTAGTGAGGTTACAATTCAATTCAATTCAATTTTATTTATATAGCGCCAAATCACAACAAAAGTCGCCTCAAGGCGCTTCATCGCTTGTAGCAATGGTGGCAGAGTGTGGGAAGACCAAGCCCAATTTCAACATGTTGGGAGAATTTGCTTTTGTGTGGCAGTGAATTACACTGAACAAAAATATAAACGCAATATTTTTGCTCCCATTTTTTAAAGATCTGAAACATTTTCTACATGCACAAAGACCCATGACTCTCAAATATTGTTCACAAATCTGTCCAAATCTGTGTTAGTGAGCACTTCTCTCACCTGTTCCAGTGTCTCTAATTTGCAGAACTGGTCCTATTCTTAGCACCTCTTGTTTTTTGTTTTTGGTGAATGTGAGTGAGGTCTTATGGATCTCTGCCACCCCCTTGCTGTAAGAATGTGTTAAAGGAAATCTCAGTAATGACTAGTTTCAGAAACGTCTTCAGACAACAATTCTGATGGCTAAAGAACCAAATGGGACAGGCGAAAAAAAAAGAAAAAAAGAAACGTCTTTTTTAATTATGTACATTTTATTATATTTGACATACAAAAACAAAAAACTAATATCTTTTGCATATATTTTTAAGCAAAAACAGAGAAAACATCCAGAAACATTACATTTGAGCAAGGGATACAAAACCTAATGCATGTGTATGCATCATTCTTACTTCTTATTCTTTCTTCATCTTATCGCTCCACTGCTCCCAAATCATTTAAGATGAATTATTACAGCTTTAAGGATGTTGTGATAAGTTGTATGATTGCTTCTGGCCTATTTGCCATCCTGGTGATCTTTCGGATGATTAAACTCTGATCTCTAGCAGCACCTCAGAAAATTCAAAGTCCTCGGGTCTCTGCCTCTCGCAGAGGCCGTAGGATGACTTCCCTCTTGTAGGAGAAGCGGGTGAGTTTCACTTTGTGGTACAACCTCTCACTGCGCTGGAGTAGGTGATAAAGTGAAATGGTGAACTTAGCCAGAGCCAATGTGCAGATAATCTCTACCACCAGAATAACAATGTAAACCTTCAGATGAGTTTTGCACTGCTGAACTTTTGTGCTGTCTTGAGGAACAAAGTAAGCTTGCTGCTGCTCTGAGGTTGTCACGTTCAGACAGGAGAAGATCACTGGAGTGGGTGGAGGAGATGTGGTTGTTGTAGTAGTTGTGGTTGTACTTGTTGTTGGGGTGGTTGTGGGTGTAGATGTTGTTGTGGGTGCAGTCGTGGTCAGAGTAGTGGTGGTTGCAATTGTAGTCGGGGTGGTTGTGGTTGCAGTTGTGGTTGGGGTGGTTGTAGTTGTTGTGGTAGTCGTGGGTGCAGTTGTTACTGGGGTGGGTGTGGGTGTAGTTGTCATAGTCAGGGATGTAGTGGTGGTTGTGGGTGTGGTTGGGGTGGTTGTAGGTGTAGTTGTGGTTGGGGTAGTCGTGGCTGTAGTTGTTGT